CGCCCAAAAAAATTGCAAAGTGACCTAACTTTTAGACTCGCTAAGTAAATATCAAGTTAGTGATCCGTAGATGAGAGTGATTTTCAATCTTATTTTCCCATGTAGTAGCTGCAACCTTGGATCAAATCCAGAGTGTTGGTCTAAAATTTTGAGTATTTTTTTGATATCAAAATTTTGATGATATTGCCACGCAAGAGCCATTAGTGTCTACACCTCACCTTTTCGTGGTGGACAACTAAAAGACCCTCCCACAACTGAATAATTCGTATTAAAAGTCTTCTAATAAATAAACAATGGTGTTTGTTTATCAGTTTGATATGGTGCAACTATATTAGACTTTCGCTATCTTTGTGCAGTACTCAACCGCTTCACTTAGCAGCACCATACTTGTATTGCTTTCTCACAACAAAATTTTAATAATTTTTATAATAAATGGATATGGAAAAATGATTAAACAAGTTTGTGAGAGGATACAAATAATGTCGGGTATATGCATGGCTACATGTGAGGTCCATCACCTCTTCTTTTTCTTTTATTTTCTTTTATTTATTTATTCAACAAAAGCACATGCCTCTTGTTGACATAACAAACAGAAGATGCCTAAAAGTCCCAGAGGAAATGTATTTTTTTATTTATCAACCTCTGATTTGAGATTCACACAGATCACGATAATAGTGCGCAATGTAAAGAATGTCCTTTAAATATTGATCATAAAGATGAAAAAGAGGAAACCTTCAATAATAACAATAATAATTCATGTCCATACAAAGAGTTCTAGACAAAAACAACCGACTGAAATACAAGGGAATCGTGCTTTAAAAAGCGAGAGGAGAGAGAGAGACAATACATGAGGGAACCTGCCCTTTAGGTTGGCAGCATGTGAATCTTTTTGTGGAAGACCTCTTTAAGAAGGACCCTTTAGATCTGAATTTTTTGGATATGCCTAAAGACTCAATATATGTTATCTTCAAAAGAAGAAACTGGATTTAGATTTCTTGAATACTTAACCTAAAAATTGGATGGTCTATGTTCAATTTTAGGACGCTAACTACAAATAGCTCTGGAAATTTTTTCATTTTTAGTGAGACTGTGACTTGGTTGATGTAATTACATCTCCAAAATTTATTCGTTCTAAGGGTACTAGAGTGTTCGCCAACGGAGTGAACAATGTTTGACAACCCGGCTGGGTTAAGCTAGAACCAGCCGAGTACCAGCCTCTTGCCAGTCTGGTTTTAGCTGGCTTGTGGTCAAGTTCCAAGATGATGGAAAAAATTGAAATTTCTTTTAAAAAATCCCAAAAAAATAAGAAATTTATTTGTAATGTGCTTTCTAATGTTTTCTATCATTTTGGTTAAGGTTAGAAAGTATTTGATCCCTTGTACTTATTTCTACATTTTCCTTTATGTTTTAGATTATTTCTAAAGTACCTCAGGATTATTTTAAAAAGGAAGAAGTTTATATAGAGCTAAGGCTCTAAACAATCAAATTAGAGCTCACCTCAAAAATTTCACTAGAACAGGTTGTTTTGGTGATCGAATATCCTCAATGTGATCATCTCGACATCAAGATGCATGGACATAGAAAAAATAGATTTCAAGTTTTAGAAATAACGTATTTTGTAACGCATTTTTTGAGCATCAATTTTCAAGATTTTAAAGTTTTCATAGATCTGTCGATCTAAATTATTATTGAAGCTTTAAACTCTATAAATAAAAATAAAAATATATTTTAAGGCTATCACAAATATTTCTTGTATTTAAACCACATTTCTCGATACTATTTGAAGGTAGGCTCTAATTTGATCGTTTAGACCCTAGTCTCTATACAAACCGCACTCGCCCTTTTAAAAATACCGCCATTCACAAATTGCTTTTTGCAAAATCCATTTTTCTCTATTTTTTTAACTTTATTCAGATGTGTTTTGTTTAAATTTACTAGAAAAAAAATTTTCATATTGTTTGGATTTATATTATATATTTTTATTTCTTAATAAAGTTTTGTCCAGGCCAAGACTTGCCTGGTTTTTCGAATTGCCCGGAACCGGTTCCAAGTTACTCAGACGAGCCCATATCTGAGTTCGAAGCCCGGTTCATTTAATTAAAAACTGGGAGTGAATCGAAGAAACGCTCCTAGGGGAGCACCAAATGTCGACTTTATTTGAACTTTCATTATATCACTTCTATGTATGTATCTCACTCCCTTCGGACTAAGATCACATTTGTACTTGTTTCAATGTTTCTGAATGAGCGGTACGGATTGCCGACGCTCATGCATGTGCGTTGTAAGACACATCCGGACCGTCCCATGTTTCATCTCTGTGAAGTGCATGAATATGGCCCTCGAGTCCAACCTTGATCTTCTCTAATCTTGCACTACGAATCCTGACCGTTGGTACATGAGGAACCTCGATATTGGTTGGCATCGCTCAAACGGCAATAACTTTGCCTCCAAGGGGCCCCCTCTCCTTGGAGTGTCTAACCTGCAATGACAATTGCCTTCGACAAATAACAAATGCTAGTACGTTAAGCTCAAAATCAAAAAGTTTTTTTTCACTATAATTTGTAATAAAACTACTTTATATATGTTTTTTTTTCTTTTGGATAGTTCAATACAGATACCGGTGATAAGAATGAAGACGCCATGTTATAGCAACCCACTAACCTAATCACCTAGTCTTGAGACCATTCTTATGATCTTCAGTGTGACTTACTCCCCGGTGAAGGAACCATTTATTTAGGATTGGTTAGATCTCGAATTTTACAATCACCATAGAATTATTTTAGGAAGAAGATTTTAGCACTAGAATCTTGACCAGAAAATTGGGCGGTCGTTGTTCAATCTTTTGAACCACATGAATAATGCGACTTCGAATTTTCTATTTTAAGGTTAGTTGCTAGGTTAGGGTTTACATCTTCAATTTCACCCTAAAAGTAGTACGAGAATGGAATTTCGATTTTCGCTTGAGGGAGTAAAATAAAGAGGGAAAAATTATGTACACTCACCAAAACTAATGGGAAAAGGGTGTGGTTTGCATAAGGTTGAATCCTTAAACAATCAAAGTAAGATGCACCTCCAAATTTTATCATAAGATGTAATGTTGGTGTTAAAAATTCTTAGAATGACATGAGAATCTCATTTCATCTTTATTTATAAAATTTTAGACTCCAGAAAGGGTTCAAATCAAGTAGATCTATAAACATATGAAAATCTTGAAAATGGACGGTCAAAATAATGTGTTGCAAGTTAATAAATTTTTGGATTGAAAATATTCTTCTTCTCATTTTTATTTTTTCCCATATATATCAATCTCGAGACAATCAATTAGAGGGTTTTCCAATATCAAAACAATATTTTTCCATGGATTTTTGAGGTGCACCTTAATTCTATAGTTTAAGGTTGCAACCTTATATAAATTTTTTCCAATGGGAAAAAATGGAAAGATTCATGTTTCCTAAATATTACACAAAAGGTCGGTCCCCTCGCGGTTTTTTTATTTTTCAAGTTTATCCTTTGGTCCGATGTAACTAATGTAGGACCAATTTTAAATTTCTTAAAATTTTCTCTTAAGTAAGGTGGTGTTTGGTGTGTTAGGGCACTTCTTGACATGCCCGACGTTCTAGTTATTCGAGTTTCCTAAAGTTTAGTCAATCCAATATTGGTAACATCAGACCTATATGCCACTTATAATCTTATAGGAGGAAGAACAGATGTTTCCAACATCATACTGACTTTACTTTAGTATAATCTAACACATAGGACATCAGACTAGTTCCGCAATGCTTTAAACAGGCGTCACAGCCCAACTTTTGAGAAAAAAAAATTAAAAACAATCTGATATCGATAATATCGGATCGGACTGAAGAGCAAACTTAAAAAGTCATAAAAAATAAAAAATAAAGAAAAACAAAAAAAACAAAAACGCGCGGACGCCCGTCATTTTTAGAGAAACAAATGAAGCTTTCGGTAGTTTTCCTCTTTCTTTTCGTGTACGGATATAATTTTGTCCCAAAAAAAAAAGATGCCGTGGTTAGGGCATAAGACCTTTTGACCCCAAAATTGAGTGTCCTGGGGCCTCTATTAGTCTTTAGAATCTTTATAGGGGGAACACAATAATTACGTCAAAAGCCCAAACAAAAGCAATGCCCATTTACCAATGTGCCCATTCCCCGAAGGAGCTCCCTACTAAAACAGGTCCCCTTGCACTGTGGTGACGTGGGTTACTAGGGGTATTTCCGTCATTTTTGTAAGAACTTTACGCCTATGTGGCCCCGTGGCGGTGCTGCGGACCTATCGCGCTCCCTCTTTACAGGCAGTAAAGCCACTTATGACCCACAAGCAAGAACCTCGCCAATCAATTAAGAACACGTGGATGACAGCAGGGATTGAGAGACGTGAAGACCTGATTCACAATCGTAGTGGATGGGCTGGGACCGCAATAGTACTACTACTGATCGTTAGCCTTTTTTTAAGTTTTTCATTTTTACTAAAAAAGAATTTAAGCCAAAGGAGGGTCTATTCCTGCGGGAGTAGGGTATTTCTTTACTCTCTTTTATAAAATTCCACTTAAAATTAATTTTAAGGATCCAAATTCTGGGGTTGTAACATTTTTAACTCCATAGATTAACTTCAATAATTGTAACATCTTCAACTTCAATAAAAAAATGTTTCTAATTGTACCTTTTATGCACTTAAAGAGAATATTGTCTTGAGATTAAATAAAGACCACACAATTTTTGGATGGTGAGATCTAAATATTACAAAATTTAAATTTGATTGTTTTATTAGAATAACCATCTATTAATCTCAGGTGGTTTCCAAAACTCCATATTAAAAAAAATCTTCCATGCAGATCTTTCAATAAACTACGCTTGCGAGGGAGCATGCGTAAAATTTAATTAAAGAAAGGACAAACTGCCTGCCCTGGGCAATTACAAAATCTGTGGGCGCCAACCATCACTAGCATTGCAATGAGGAGAGGAGAAGGCACATATAAATAGACACCTCCGCATTAAGCCCTTCACCCCACCTTTGAATAGCTCCTCTTTCTCTCTCTCTCCCCACTTCATTAGTTACATATATTCACTAGTTTTTAAGAATCCACGATCCATTTCATCCCATGGCCACTGCTGAGGTATTCATTCTGTTTTGTTTCCTTTCTTTCTAAGCCAAATCAATGGAGTTCTGGACAGAGTTTTGTTTTTTAAATTCTTTCTTTTGAAGAGTTATGGAGGTTATATGCAAGAATTTGTGTAGTGATTGTTTCGTTGAATGGGGTTTTGCAGGTTGAGGCTCCTGTTGCACCAGTCGCAGAGTTGAGCAATGCTGCGGAGGAAGTCGTTGTGGAGAAGGTGGTAGAAGTTGCTGCGGTCGAGTCGGTTGCTAGCGAGGAGACACCAGAGGAAGTCGCAACAGAAGCTTCGGAGTCTGAGGCAGCCAAGGAGGAAGAAACAGAACAGGTTGAGAAGGTAGAAGAGGCCGCACCAGCCGTGGAAGCGCCAGCAGCAGCAGCAGCAACAGAGGCAGAACCGGAAGCACCGGCTGTTGAAGAAAAAGAACCCGAGGCAGCAGCCGTCGAAGAAAAACTAGCAGCAGAAGAAGTGGCCTCAGAGGCAGCAACCCCATCAAGTGAGACAGCAGAGGAGGAGGTAAAAGTTGTTGAGGAAGCCCCAGCACAGGAAGACAAGGAAGAGGATACAAAGGCCTCAGAGTAATGGAAATGGGTGGGGCGATGGAATCCTTTGCAGTGTTTCCTGTTCCTTGGATGATAGTCTCAAATATTTATTTATTTAAAGTAGGCATGTTGAGAAAACTACCTGCGTGATTTCAGTGTTGATGGGAGATGTTTGTTTATTTTTATTTATCTATATTATGGATTGATTGGTATGTTATTGTAGGCTTTTTCTTAGAATGAGTTGTTATTTGTGACAAGTTGATGGATGGTTGCATGAAAATCCAGTTAGTCTCAATGAAATTTATTTATTTTAGAGTGTTTAAATATTTATTTATTGAAATATAGTTCCAATAAATATTTACTGTTTTAGCCCACAATTATCAAGTTTCATTATGACCACCTTCTAGCAAAGGTAAATAGTCTTATCGTATATTTTCTATATAAATTTGTATGATACTATCAAACAGTATTTTAAATCCTGATATTGCATTTGCTTTCCCACCCATATACTAACCCGCATCGTTGGGAAACCAACAAATATCCGATCTAGATCTGCGATTTGTCAACTATGAAACGAGTCGAGAATGTCCTACTTCTCATGGTAAACATAGCAACTTGGATATCAATCAAAACCCTTATTTGTGTCCCAGCTTTCCACAGCAAATACGTCATAGGCCTGATAGATAGATCAAAGAGGCCCCCTTTGATAAAACCTTGTTTTGGTTTCACATATAGGTGGGTGATGCTCCATTGAGAGTGTGCTACTCGGATGTCTTTAATGTTTCCAACAACAAGTTTATTAAGGTTTATGATGTTGCTTCGGGATCTGGTTTTCGGGACATTTGGAGTGTTTGCCGCAGATACAATAGATTTCAGGATGTAAAGATTGATCATATGAGACCTTTATTGCAAGAACGCAAGAATATAATCTGTCTCCTGAGTTTGGCGACAAAGTTATCTAGGAGCAAGAAGCAGATGGTGTTTTTTTAAGTGAAATCTCCATTTTTTATCGTTTTATGATTGTTTGAGATGGTCCGAACCTAGAAGAATAAAAATCTGAGATCGCTAAATCACTACAAAATTCAAGCTTTTCTATGGGTCTTCAGCAGTGTTTTTGGACTCAATCAAGGAGACTCGGATTCGGCCACGTACAATGTACCGAGTTTATATATATATATATATATATATATGACTATAATCACATGAAGTGTCAATTTT